CTTGGAAACCAAGTCCAGTTGATATTTTTGAATTCTTACGGAAAAAATGTCAAAAATAGCGTTTAGTTTCAGGTTCTATCCAGCAGCCCAACAAAACCTTGTTTTTGCTTAGAAAACATGCAAATAGAAACCCAGGAACGGGTCCCCCCCTTTGGAATGGGGGTCGTTTGACTTCTTTGTTAGCCTGCAATGCCCCATACCTGTCTATGTCTCTGAAAGGGGGGTTGTTAGAGGGAATAGTTGGCCTGGCTGATTAGGAGAGGTCTTCTGTTCTCCTGTAAAGCAGTGGGGGTTGCAATGATAGCAGCACAGCGTCTGTGGATAATAAACAGTTCCAGAGGAGTGATCATAGCGCTCTGCATCAGCAGCGCTGTGTCTGACTCCCTGCCAGCTCCCAGTTCAGCCTCTCTGATTGGTTGGTGAGGCGCCTCCAGCAGCAGAAGTTACATTTTTCCAACTTCCAGCAGCTGCTGCTTTCGCAGAGCATCCTGCGTGATGTAGCGCAGAGTCTTGTCCAGAGGAGGGCGCTCTTCTGTGTTGGGCCATGCGTCTGTGGAGAGGTTCTGGGATTTTGTGTTTGGAGTCCAGCAACATCTGGGATGGAGACGTTTTTGCTTTTAATCATCTACCGTTATGTTCTACTGCTGTTTTTTATTTATTTGAGTTTAATATGGCGAAAAAGTCAGACATTTATTTATTTATTTATTTATTTATTTATTTATTTATTTATTTATTTATTTTAGTGGCCCTGATCCTCTTCCATACTAAAGTAAAGAGCATGAGCAGTAGTTTTTATTAATCTTAGTCGATGAAATCATTTTGGATCATTTGGTCTTTTTTGGTGGATATTTGCTGATTTTTCTGTGTCCGTGTGCGCTGGTTTCCTTCATAGAAGCGGCTTCCTTTCTGGGAGTGCTGATGGCAACATGGAGCTCTTCTCTGAGCTGCTGACCATTAACCTGCTGAAACTGGAGAAGGTGGGTCCTCCTGCCTGTTTGATCTCATTAATGCTCCTCATTGTCACTAACTCCCTAATGGGTAACGAGCAAGGAATAATCAATGGATGATTATTTATACCTAAAACTAATATATTCGTAGTGATTTAATGAATTTAGCCTTAATGAGTAGAAAAATAAAATAATTTTCACCACGATCACTGAGTCAGGGAGCGGCCATTTTTGCCCAAATATAGTAGCCCCTCCCTCCTGCCATCTTCCA